GAGTCTATCTTTTATATGTCTATGGTCGTCAGATATAGAAAGAGAGGAAGAGTTGAACTGAGTCCATAGGCCTGTTCTTTATTACTGCACTACTGAACTAGTGCAATAAGTTAAAATGAAGCAAATAGATTACCTCTCATTCCAACTCATTGCACCAGTGTGCACTAGTTCAGGAGTGCAGCAATAAAAAACCAGACCCAATGTGTCCCCACTCTTAACACACCGAGAGAGAGAGAGAGAGAGAGAGAGAGAGAGGGGGGGGGGAGGGAGAGAGAGAGAGAGAGAGAGAGAGAGAGAGAGAGAGAGAGAGATCATGACTCTTTTCATTATGTCTGCATTCTAATGTTTAGGACAGCGCGTCCATAAAGACCGTATCAGACTACTGATTGAGATTGAGATTAGATTGAAATTTGACCAATAAGAGTAAAAGTCACTAAACTTGAGATTAGCAAACTTTAAGCCCGTATCAGACTGCGGATTGAGATTGAGATTAGATTGAAATTTGACCAATAAGAGTAAAAGTCACTAAACTTGAGATTAGCAAATTTTACTGTGATTGGTCAAATCTTAATCTAATTCCAATGGCTGCGTTCAGTAGAAGTCAGCTCTTAATAAGCGCTTTATGCTGATTGGATAAATCTAGAAGAATAGCTCTATTTCAGCACAGATCTGAAAGTATAATCCAACGAGCGCAAAGCGCTTAGCAAGCGCTAACTTCTGCTGAACGCAGTCATTCTCAATCCGTAGTCTGATACGGGCTTTAGTCCCAGTCTACAATAGAGATTTAAGCCCTAAGCCTTAAGAAATTGACTAATCACAGTCGCGCATTCTTCTCATACTTGACCGTGATTGGCCAATTTCTTAAAGCTTAGGGCTTAAATCATCTATTGTAGACTGGGACTTATGCCTATCACACAATGCCAGGCAACAGACAATAGGAACAGCGAATAGAACTTCTGATACGTTGGATTGGTTGGAAGAACATTTCCGACGAATCCAAAGCGTCAAAAATTCTATTCCCTATTCCTATTGCCTGTTGCCTGGCATTGTGTGATTGACTTTACTGTGATTGGTAATTCAATTTTCTCATTCACGGAGTATAACAAGTGTAGACGTGCGTTCGGTCGCATGCAAACGAGAGAGAACGAAATAGCACAAAACAGAGTTTGTCCTTTTCTACGTGTACCTCCACCCCCACTGCTCAGTGCTCGGTCTAGATATATTATGTCTATGGGAAGGACGGGAATGAGGGGATTTCCCTGTGATGGTGGGGGGGAAACTTGAAACCGCTCGCATACTGATTAGCGCTTGCATTTTGTACTGCAGAAAAGTGATACGGCTCGTTAGTCCGGGATTCGCGAGCGGGAGGAAAAGCCAGAGGAGGCTAGTCATTCGGAACTCAATCTTCGAAACGTCATCCCCGACGAGACTCGACGTCCAGTATTAGGAAAACGGGACTAAAGCAGATATGGAGCGATTACGTTACCTCCACATCACAAATGCTCTTATCGGGTTGTTATTCCACGCCGGGATCGCGAAAGCAACGGGTCAAGATGTGATAACATCGTTGTCGTCGAACGCATTGGACAACGGAGCACATAGTATTTATAAAAATCTTTATTTCCCCGATAACATATTTAGACTGTTTACGAGATCTTTTTGCACGTTGCCGGTCTTTAAATTTAACGCGAAACTTGGAGTATTCTAAAATAAAAAAAAACGAGGCAAGGACTCTGCGAGTTTCACTTTAAGTGATTTCCTAACCGACGTGTTAATTATATCAAGATTGGCCGAAACGCGTATATACGCAATCCTAGAGTCCAAATGTAATCACAGACTCTTCAGTAAAATAATTTCAACACCTTATTAAACGAAAAACTTGTTAATCTTGGCCTTAATCATATGTCGTTGTATCAAGATTCCCTGCCAGTAAATATTTATTACATGTATATAAACGTAATTAGTAAGTAAACCTGCGGTGTAAAAGTAACAAACGACGGGGAAACCGCTGAGGAAATTGTGGTGCACGGATTTGCGGCATTACTGGGCATTACTAGGCATTTTTGGGGCATTAGTTTGGGCATTGTAAAGATATAATAAGATAAAATAAGATACCAAGGTAAAGCAATGCCCACTGAGCATTAGTGGGCATTGGTGTGCAAGATTTCGGTCAGCGGTTTTCCCCTCTAGCACAAATAAATTATAAGGAAATATTTAAAGTGAAAGGCTGATGGAGAGCGATATTTTACTTTCTAGATAAGTTTATCATGAGAATTTCTGGAGACGTACACAATGGTTGCGAATGCTTTAAATATGATTGTGGATGCTGTCAGTATCTAGATTGGGACGCGATCTGCATGAACGGAAAGTGTGAGTATATAATTACAGGAGAGTCCCCTATTATGAGACAGCAGGGTTTTTGCTAAATTAATAGGCATCGTCTGTTGGTTTCATCGTGAATTTATTGCCCTTGGAGTGAAATCTGTTTAGCGGAAAATTCCATAGATCGTGTAATCATTGTGAATAAAGATTTGTGATGAAATTTTCATGTTGGAAACCTGTTATCTCATATTAGAAGCCTATCTCGTAATAAAAGACTCCGCTGTACGTATGGGCACTATAACAATTGTTTAACACTGATGTATCCCCTCATTGATTCTATTCTTATGTACAGTGTGCGCGAATGCAACTTATCTGAGGAACGATTTTGGGTTTTCGCTCACGGTGACGTTTAACAACTTCGCGATTATTAACGAGACAATTTCAGGTAACGTTTAATTGCAAGCGAGATGTGCGCAGTGTTGTATGTTCGATAAACAGAACGTAAATATTTTTAGCTCGAAATCCACCGCCCATTTGCTTCGGGGAGGACATTATAGACGCGTTGGAAGTTGACATTTGCCTGCGTATTTACGATATAGACATAAAAAAGGATTATTTTCACGCATGTTTTGAGATTTTGGGAAGGATAATGAAACTCCCAATCTCTAAAATACAGTTAGGTTGCGTCCAGACTGATGAATGGAAAGAGATAGTATTTATAGAAAATAATATGTCGCCATTTGTCAAGAATACAGCGCCCAATGTCGTCATGGTATGATGACAAATAACTTGGTGTAAATAACGTACTGAACAGTCTCTCGGAATCTCGCCATATAAACTAAGCGGCATAAGTTCCTTTTATTTTTACGCCCTATTTGCGGGATAATTAAGTTCTACTTGACGCAATAAATGTTCAGTTTTTTTATAATATATATTTTATGCACTTAAAAAAGGGTATAATCTATGTGTTTTTCGTTTAGTCAAAGCAAAACTAGAATTATGTTTTGTTACAAACATATTGTATTTTAACTTATATATTGTAGATCTGAAATGTGCATTGTAACTGAATAGTCGACTATAATGTATTACATAATTGTTTCGTACACTATACATATACTTCGTTATTTCAAGTGTTATTTTTTTTCTTCGTAGTATTATAATTATCTTGCACGGTTATAGCTACTCTTAATTCAACATTGCTATCAATAGTCTTTTCCACTCGGCGGTGCAATCGTCCTGTAAAAGAAAGCAGAGATATTCGTGCGTATTATCAGTAAAATGAGCCGAGGATATATTTGCGAATGCATATACGTTTATTGCGGATAAATGTGTGTGTTACATTTGCATGCTTTCGAATTATTGACACAGTGTTAAATATCTGATTGGATTCTTAGTAACGAAAGAGTAACTCTCCTCGAGCTCATTTAATTCAATAGCGCGATCAGAAGCCGCTTAAAGTCGTCGCTGCAGTCGTTCTGTAAATGTAAAAAAAAAGAATGTAGGAAAATTAAAAGCTAACGTCAACTCGAAGCAAATGACGTTCGTGTATTTATATATGTATACGTACATACAAGTAATACAAGCGTGCATGCAATCAGAGATGAATGGACCAATTAATGGAATTAGTACAGTGAGGATACAATAAATTAATAATATTTAATATTTATGCTAATATACAATTTGCCAATTGGATCGGTTTTCACTCGATCTTCACACGTTTACTTTGTAATTTCGTTTTGCACACGTTGCGTCACACCGATCTAAGCGCAAAACATAGATGACACGAGTAAAACCATATTCACCGTTAACAACCAGCGTAACATAAGGAACTAAATTAACCAAGATCTTTGCAGAATATAACGAAACGCTATGCAGTCTCCGCGGCATTGAAGTATAATTTTTCAATAAAAGGGTCTGTCGCACGATAGAAATATTTTCATCCGAGAAGGGCAAGCAAGAGTCTCTTGTAGTCGCCTGAACAGTCGTCCTGAAATTTATGGAAAGTTACATGTGCTGCGAGTGTAAATACATGTGAGTTAACAGATTATTTAGTATTTTATTTATAGTTCAGCGGCTGTAAATGCATATAAGTATAGAAGAGAAATATGTACATATAATTCAACTGGAGATAAAGCATTACCGTATTAAGTAAAAGCCATACAATTGAAGCGCTGCAATGAAACTAATTGTAAGTCTAAAAACGTTCGACAAAATCTGTGTCGCGGAAAGAAATTGATTCTCTGAATTCATCTACGAATTTATCATTAAAAAGATGCTCCAAGTTTGCATCTCTGTTAAGATTAATTTAGATATATTTATTTACTACGCGTCTCTTTTATTAACTTTACTGCTGTGAATATAAAATACGATTACAAATAAAATGCAAGAGGAGCGAATGGAACGGCTAGAGCAATAATGTGAAATTATTACTGTTTCAGGAAGTAGCGGGTTTTACTTACGTCGATGGCTGCCGCAAGGGGCTTCCCGTAAAGTCTCTCATAAGTATCTTTAATGTCGCCCAGATCGATCTCCGATCGCGCCACGATGATGCGTACCAACGTCGAATCGGTCGTGCCCATCCCGCGCATAGCTTTGTACAGTCTTTCCGCGAAATAAGCAGTCTTGTCGCTGGCGCATTTCACTGAAAGATCATTCACAGTTTTAGAGCGATGTGACTGTATGTGTGGAAAAAGGAAAAGAAACGGCGCGATTAATTGGTAACGAATAACGTACCGAATGTAAGAAATAATAAGTTATATTTATTATATTCGACGATTTCTTACCAACAGCGAGGTAGCCGTCTTCGACAGAGCCGGAGAATTCTCGCTTGATAGCGTGCTCCAAGGTGTGTCCGGCGATGCGTTCGTACTCCTTGAAGATCCTTCGCAATTGCGGGTAACTCTTAGTAATGAGGATTGAGTTGAAAGTGCTCTCGTCGGTGCCCCACTGTCCCTCACCCGCGTCGTGCAGCCTCTCGGCGTCCTGACGCGCGGCGTCCGCGTCGACGTCAGGACTCTCGTTCCTGCTGGCCTGATCGTTAATCGAAAGATAGAGAAAAACTGACAGAGCGGTTGCACAAAGCTGCATATCGTCTTGAAGCTGTTACTCACGCAAGACAACGACACTAAAAGCCTCTTGAAGTAACCGGAGGTATCGCTCTTGAGATCGTCTTCCAGCTCCGAGTCGTACACTAGGGAGATCCATTGAGAATATATTCGTAAGTCATAAGTTACGTAAAGCAGAATCGATCGGAACTAGCAAATGAAATGCAGTTGCGTTTCTTTAAATGAAATTTCTGTCTTATGTAGGAAGGCGATGCTGAAAATCGACTCCGGAAGATGTGCTGCGTCGAAACTTACGATCCTTGTAAACGGCCGATATCGTCTTGATGCCATAGTTGCTCAAGGACGCGAGGACCTCGACGAGCGCACCCTCGTCGGTACCCATGCCGGAAATGGCCTCGTGCAACTCCTTGGCATAATACTCGGGAAGAGGCGTCATTAGAGCCAGGATGACCTTCTCAAAGTTCCCGGACAACTCCGACTTCAGCTCGGAGATTAGGTCCTTGCCGTACATTGTCTTGAATTTGTCGGCGATCTCCAATCGCTGCACGATGCCGCGATGAGCCAAGACGTCGATGATGGCCTGCTCGTCCGTCCCGAAACCCTTCATCGCAGTTCGTAGGAGGTTGGCGTCCGCCTCGGGATCGAAAGGATCGGCCGGGTACACGGTGGGCGTGCACTGGAAGCATTTTTAGTCTTGCATTTTCCAACTCGAAACGATTATCGACAGATCGTCGTACAATGAATGATGTTGAACGAGTACCGAGCTCATTAATTAGCATAAAATTAATTAGCGTTAGATAATTTAGTTTATCAAATTTTTTTAAAGATTTGTCAATTTCTATCGAATTATATCTTAAATAATTTATACGAAACCGAAGTTGTTTGAAAAAGGAGACGCAACAGAAGCCCATGGTGAAATAATTCTTCTGAAAGATTGTACCGAAAGTTTATTTTCAACTTTATTTTGCGAGTGGGACAAATCTTTTTAACGTAAGAAAATTATTTTCAAACTCGCTTCTCTTAAATTATGCAACGCTAATTTTAGGAAGGTGACGCGATCCTTTTAACATTAACGTATCGATAAATGACTCATTCTTAGCAAAGTTTATACGTATATAGTTTTATTTTTTAATCAGTTGGACGTCTATTTTTCGTGATTCGATTGGATATCATCCTTTCCTTTTCCGAGTTTAGGAGCACATTGCGGAAATTATAAGAGCCGTTCGTTCAGGTGGATAAGAAATTAAAATGGTATGGAAATAACGAGATGAGTCATTTATCTTGCACGGCTCATTATTGCGAAACTTATTGCGATTTTACAGTATTAACATATAAATTACCTGCACATGATAATACTGGCTAGCTGCCATCTCGCTGGTTATCTGAAAGCATTTTTAATATGTATCAATCGTTAGAGACTCATAATCCAAAATTAATTGATCCTTCGGCGATCAATATTTTGGGGACAAAAAGTTTATTATTAGATTTATTAGATGGACCATTTTAACAGCCCTTAAACTTCTCCACGTCTGATCTCTGGATATTAAATTATTAATTATTCGCTGATACTAGAATGTCTAAAAAAACTGTAGAAAGCGTAGATAATTTTGTGGCTTAATTAAGACCCTTTGCGTTATTATCGCGGCGCTTGGCTGCAGCGTGAAAGTTATAATTGTCGTTTATAAGAGAGCGACGATACGCGGTGATGATTCTCATCTGTCACGAATTAATGCGTGCAAACACGCGATCCGGCGACGCGGTGCTCGCGTCCTTGACTCGCTTGAGATACGCCTCGCGTTCGTGACGATGATCTCATCGAACAACACCCCGGCATCCGTTCGCCTGTCGCTACTTGATTATTAAGAATCTGTTGTATCACTTTGTATGATTTGAATGACGAAGAGGAAGGGTGTGCTATTTCGCAGGATATACCGCAGGATCATATCGATCGGATACCGGCGTGGTGACACTCAGGGTGTGGCTTGCTTTACCTCTTTCGACGACGACGCGCTCTTGCCGAAGGAACAGTATCGGTTCTGGTGGCCGACTAACTAACGGCCCCGCACCCACCGTTCTCCGCGTCGCTGGGAGCCTCTCTTCCGCCGAGAAACGGCAGAGAGAAGAGGAAAGGAATTCGCTGGTGGGGCGAACACGCGTTTGTGTCTGTCGACTACGAAGGCACCGGACGATGGTCCGGTATTTTTTGCCGGATGAAACCCGGAATTGGATGACACAACGCGGAATAGACCGGGACCGGTTACCGGTACCGGTCCGTGACTCTCGCATGGTCTTCGAATGCGAAACGCCGCCGCGAATAGTCCCTAATTATTCAAGTTACCAAGCCGTAAATATTAGTATTGCTCGCGACTCTCTTATTCTCATTATTGAGTAACGATAAGAAATTTAATTAAAGTATTGATAATAATTAACGGAATCGATCTCAATTTTGGTATCTGCGTGCCGCTGCTCTTTATTTTCGCCAACAACTCGACATTGACCGCAATAATTTCTGATTTTTCAACGTCGAGTATGTCCTCGAAGGCAATCCTTGCCAAAGCAGCATTGTTTTCAGGCAATACGGCGCCAGGAAATAGATCTAACGCAAGAAGCATGAAATCGATACCGATTGTTCGACTCATCACGTTGATGGCTGGTCTCGCAACGCGAAATATTAATGATGACAAATTACGTGTCTTAACAGGAAAAGTTTAGAGTATGAGATACATATATATATATGTACGTAGCCCATTAATATAATTGCCAACGATGGCGGAAGTACGCCGTAACTTTCGTTTCTTGTTCAGTCTCCGATTCCCACAATGATTCACGCGAACTTAATAGATGTTCATTTGCTCAGAGAAGAATATAAATGCGTGATATACATTTGAGAAAAAGAATTCAATATGTTCGGACGAGTTTTCATATATTAATTTTAATTGTTCGTGAAATGACAATGATTAAATAATTCAGTAAGCTGTAATTGTTTCACAAGAGAGAACTAACGCTGTCTACAAATTTCCCAAAGTCCTGTCGAATCTCTGAATATTAAACTTTTTCGCGTTTTATGTTGTAGAATTGATTGTGGGAAGATGAGTAATCTGTTTATTCGATTTATTGCTAGACTAAGCTGTCGGTATCTCAATAAAGGTCGTATAAATAAGCCACTGAGTCACCTTCAGAATTTGACAAGATTATTGAGGTCAAATAACATATAACGTGATTAATGTGCTGATACAACTTAGTCAATCACGGTCAGCTATGGAATGGAAGAGTCTTGCGTATCAACTTTAATGCAAACTGATATGACACTCTGCGTATAAAATAATATATTAATCTCTTAATATTCCTTTTTACATAATTACCAGTTAACTTAAGCAACAGTTTCAGTACCTGCTGTTTGGATCACGATTAATTTTGAATAATCTTTACTTGTATTACTTCTTACAGTTACACTTACAATTTGTTCTGGACACCGGCTTGCGGAATTCTTCACCGCGTTCTACACGAAAGTGGATGCTTTGCTGACTGGGTGGGAACGTTCTGACAGCGGTGATATTAAGGACAGCATTGAGGAGAGAGAGAGAGAGAGAGAGAGAGAGAGAGAGAGAGAGAGAGAGAGAGAGAGAGAGA